TATGACCTTTTAACCTTCATACTGGCACAGATCGCATTAAATGGACCTAGAGTGTATGGACAACACGATGGGACGACTGCACCTTCAACGCTCAGAGAGATTCCGGTCACTGCGCCTACCTACACCCCAGTGTAAGCCGATGCTGGTCCCTACGCCTACACCCCAGTGTAAGCCAATGCCGGTCTCTACGCCTACACCCCAGTGTAAGCCGATGCCGGTCCCTACGCCTACACCCAAGTGTAAGCTGATGCCCCTGAATCTGACATAATAATTGTCTATTATTTTTACATTCCTTTAACCGTATCAATAATTCTTTTGGTCTGAGACTGGCAAAAAATCTGGCCAAACTTCAGCGAAACAGACCAAAACAATAGCAGCCGTCGATAGTCTTTGTAAATACATGGTTTATATTAAATTTTCACATTAAAACCACTGCAAAATACATGAAAAAACAAGTTGAAAACAATAAATACATGTTACAGTAGCCACCGAAGTGTTTTAATGTAGTTCCATGAGGTAAAAATGAATTTTTTATTTTATTTCTGTAGAAATAATAAAACGCACTAAAATAAGGGATTACCCTTACTAGTACTAATACTGCTACGAAACAGTGATATACGCAGACATATAAAAATGTAATGAGCGTAGGCTTATGAATCAAATTGAAAGCTACTTTATGCCTAAATATACAAAATTGTAATACAAAAAATATTTCAATATATTCATTTCCTTAGATTTAAAAAAACAAAAAAATACTGATTCTATTTACCTTTGCCAGGCTAACTAGGAGCTAATTGCTCAGTCTAATACTAATATAATTTTATGTTTCAAAAGCTAATATAAACATTTTTTTTTTCATAATACAGAAAATCCCTGTCCCCAAGAACAAGTGATCCAAGTCCAAGTAACTAGAGAAAGCCAGACTAGCACCAACTTCACCGCAAGCCTCAGCACTAGCCTCACCGCAAACTTCGGCACCAGCCTCACCGTCAGCTTTGGCACCAGCCTCACTGCCAGCTTCGGCACCAGCCTCACTGCCAGCTTCGGCACCAGCCTCATCGCCAGCTTTGGCACCAGCCTCATCGCCAGCTTTGGCACCAGCCTCATCGCCAGCTTCGGTACCAGCCTCAACGCCAGCTTCAATATCTGAAGAATCTATGGCATCGTATGCTTCGAAGAACAAACTTCATGCTTTGGAATATCAATCATACCATAGGCTTCTCTGCCTCATCTATCATGCAGACAGATGCCCTCCAGCCCATTTTTCAAACGTTTTCATGCCCAGTATGCAAGTAGGACACTTCAAGGTTCACAGTGGTGAAAATAACTTTATAGACTAGCGTTATTTTTAAAAGTGGTATGTAATGTATGTGACGTTGTCATCCCATCATCTGACACATTAGTTGTATGCAAAGGCAACATTTTTTATGTCGGCAAAAGAGCTGCGACAGCATCATTAGTGACTGGATTGTGGCATGCTGGTATGGGGAAGTTTTTCCAAATAATGGATGTACCAAACATTCACCAAAAAACAATCGACCAGAGTGCTACACTACCACCCTGCATCAATCGCTACCAATCTACAAGGATAAGTTGCAGAGGTAGTAGACATTGATGATGGTCCTATGATGGGAGTTGGCTCACTCAGGAGGGATAGTGTTATATCTAAATACCTCACACTCACATGATAGACAATTTTTCCAGAATTTTTTATATAATCATGTTATTTACGACAAGGGGTTGCTTTTAAAAACATGACTTTTATTATTTTCTATCATATATATCTGTGTTTTTATATTGTTTTTTCATTTATGAATAGTATATGTACATGGTATATGCATCCAATGTTGTTAAATAAGTAGACTTTAATTTTTTTTTAAATATTTTGTTTTTCTCAACTTTGCGTTTTTTCAGATTTTCAGGAATGCCAAATGCATCACGAGGAAAAGTATTATAGCTACAGGCTTCAAACTTTCCATGCTTTTTACCATTGATATTATCTACATAATAACACCTCCTTCTTTTAGATATGTCAAGCAGAGATTTAAAAATTATTTTTATTATTATTATAATTTTATTTGGGATGGGGGTTGTTATTTTGAAAACATGACTTTATTAATTTGATGTGTTTTATATCTGTGTTTTTTTATTGTTTTTTAATTTATGAATGGTATATACATCCTACATTGTTCAAGTAGTCTTTAATTTAACAAAAATTATTTTTCGTTTTTCACAACTTTGCATTTTTCATGGACGCGAAATGTATCAGGAAGAAAAGTATTACAGATACAGGCTTCACACTTTCCATGCTTTTTACCATTGATATTATCTACATAATGACACCTCCCTCCTCTGGATCTGTCCAAAAGAAAAATTTTAAATATTTTTTATTGTTATACACTTTTTATTTGGGACAGGGAGGTTGATGTTTGAAAATATGACTTTGTTAATTTTCTATCTTTTATATCTGTATTTTTATGTTGGTTTTTCATTTATGAATAGTATATGTACATGTTTTATGCATTAAATCTTGTTCATGTAGTCTTTAATTTAAAAAAAAAACATTTTTGGACTTCTTTTTCGTTTTTCTCAACTTCATGTTTTTCAGATTTTTTAGGAATACCAATTGTATCAGGAGGAAAAGTATAACAGCTACAGGCTTCAAACTTTGCATGCTTCTTACCATTGATATTATCTACAAAGTGACATCTCCTTTTTTCAGATCTGTCGAACAGAACTTTTAAAATTATATTTTTACATATGCTACCCCTGGTATTTTGCCAGAAAATTATGTGACTCCACAAATATGTCATTTGTAGATGCTCCAATATATGTAATGCAGAAAGCTTTTGTAATTTTTTTAACAACTCTATTCTTAATGAGTGTGCAAAGTTTCATTATGATGTTGATAAACCTTTTGGTGTTGATACATTTTGCGTAACTGTCAATATTTGTATAAAATTATATAATTTTTGCAATAAAAGTCAAAAAAAATTTTTTTAAAATAAACTTCTATGTTTTTTTGTCTTTCTATTGGTGTATAGTTAGTATGTACTAAAAAAACATTTTTTAATTTAAGAAACATAGAAAAAATTTTTTTGACCCATATTTCACTTTTATTTTCAAAACCCTTATTGTTATAGCTTACTATAAAATAGAAGCTGAAAAGATTAGATCATGTATAATTACCACTCTTAGTTATTCCATCCCGAACTGGTATGCGACTGCAGAAAACTAGCCTACTCTCTTTTCAAAAAGACATGATAATGATATACAGAGGCCTACATTATATTGCTTTTCTGAATAACTGCATACGACTACGACTGATACCTAAGGCATAAGGGTTTTGTTAGTAATTTTAATCAAATGGTCGGCACATTCAAAAGTAGAGAAAAAGTTAATCTCCCAACATTGGAGTGGAAGTTTTATTTCCACCGTCTGCGCATTATCATTCACAGTCATAAACGATTGATCTCATCCTCATGTCCCTTAGTCCTTGGACCGTTGGGGCGCCACAGATGACATGTGAACCATCCTCCTCCATTCCTCTCTGTCATCAGCACTGCGCACTGCATCGCCCAGTGTTAGTCCTGTCCACTCTTTAATATTATCCTCCCATCTTTTTCTTTGTCTTCCTCTTCTTCTCCCTCCTCATGTGGTGCCCTGCAATATTTCTTTGGCAAGCCCTTGTTTCCTTGTTACGTGGCCGTATCATTGTAATTTGCATTTTTTCACAGTCACCAGTAGGTCATCGTACTCCCCAAATGCCTGACGAACCCTTTCTTTCACTGTATCTACCATCTCAATTTAAACTTGATGACTGATGAACGCATTTTCTCTACTAAAACCAACCAGAACCAATTTTTTTTTTAAAAATCAATCTTATCAGATTTATTACATATCAACTCAATCGTGATTCATACTGTCTCATTTCTACAAATACAAAGAAAAAAACCTGTTGGTCTTAAAACATTGCTGGCATCCGCCCGTCACAATGTGACGTTGCTTTGAAATTCAGACAAGGCCTGGGAATATTCTTCAATGATCATAAACTGGTTCCCAACAGCACATCGCCTCTCTCCACGCCGCTCACCTTTAAACAACTGCCAACTCAAACCCCCCCCTGCAGACGAGGGAATGCCAAAAACTTGAATAGTCTTTATGCTTCCAAGTCTCCCTCTGTTTGACGATGAAAGACTCTCTTTTCTAAGGGAATCAATTTTTATTTTATTCCTCATACGTCTTCTATTGACAGTTTTCATTTAATTTCGAACTCTCTATTTGTACTGTTGTCTGTTCACCGATAAAGGCTTCTTGTCGATACCTTCGTTGTTTTCTTGAGTTCTTTTTTATTTTCTTTCAGGTTTTCCCATAATTTTTCCCCAATGTTAATTTATTGTAAAAATGGAGCTCTAAATAGATCAGTGGCAAACCTGAAGTGGAGGGGTGATCAACCCCTTGGTTGATTGGGGGGGGGGGGGGGTGGTGGCTGCAACTTCGGTATTTCTAAAATTGTTTTTTATTTTGCATTAAAACCTGAAAATAACGGAAACCATTTGGACCGATAAAAGTCGTAACTTTTTGTAGGGATGGTGTTATTTCCCGCTTCACCCAGAATGAATATCATGCACAACAGTCACAGCAAACTGTACAAAACACACATTCTTTAAGTAGGCTGTTAGAAATGCCGTAGAGTAACTCGTGTTAGGGTCCCCTGGACGGGCCAAGATATGGCTTAAAGGCACAGTTCCGATCCTATCAAACTGTACAAATGCATCTAGTTATGAGCAGACTGCTAGACATGAATCTGTGCTTGTTTTGACGCATTGGATTTAGGGTTAACCTATTAATTAAGCCACCTTGATGCTACGACGCATGCGCAAAGTTAGACAGAAAGTTTCTTCAAGCTGAAAATCTATAAAATAAACATGTTAGCTACAGCAGCCAAAATCTAAGTGAAATTTCTAATTAAGTTTAACGATTGGCTTGTCACTCTCCGTGAACAAGTCAAACGTTTAAAGGGCACCTCCACATCTAGGGCTTATCAAAGGGTTACAGCTTATCACAGGTGGCATGCATGTCATAGTGATGTTATGCCTACAGCCAGTACCACCGTTGGTCTACATGTTATTGTGACGTTATGCTTACAGCCATTACAACAAGAGAAATAGTGCGGGACCAATATTACAGGTAAAATATTGAAGTTAGTGTAAGCGTAGAGAAATCAATTCAAAGAAACAATTTTTGTTTAAAGTAAAAATGTGACAATTCGATTAAAATGTTAAAGTTTTTCTATTTTTTTACTTCACAGATATAAAGTAATCACATTTATTTTTTAAATCAACGTTTTAGTCAAATTTGGGGAAGCTTAGTTAAAAAAAAAAACAACAACACACACACTCAACACAACAACACACACACACCACAACAACAACAACAACAACACACACAACACAACAACAACACACACACAAAACACAACAACAACAAAACAACAAACAAACAAAAAGTTTTGGAATATTTTCTTCTTCAAATTTAGTATCAATGAAATTGAATTAATTTATATAAGGCTTTATTTTTTATAGTGAATGGAATATTTTTGTTCCCCCCTGACAGAAAAAGTCATTAACTAGGAGGCCTATAAATAGAACACAATACTTACATTTTATTATTTATTAAACTGTAAGGAGTTTATTTAAATAAACTTTTTTTTAAAAAGTTATATTTTATTTAACTTAATGGTGATATTTTTATTTATTTATTTTTTTTTCAGTGACTAATCAAAAAACAAAAAAAAAGTTTCTTGTTGATGAGTACAAAGGGACATAACTTGACATCAACAAGAGTATCCTTTGAGAGCAGCGACAGATAATTTGAGCTGTTAATATCCCTGTTTAGATGGGGATACGATTGTTTCGATCGCTATGTCTCCCTACATGTCTCCCTATATGTCTCCCTATATGTCTCCCTATATGTCGACACGGAAAGAAGCTCCTCATATTTATGGTGGTGACCACAGTGTTCACACTGTTCTTACTCGTCCTGGAGAGCATCGTGTTTCTGTCTCCCCCTGAAGTGATATCCAAAAAAATAGAATTGGGATTGTCTTCTCCTGTCGTGGTTGGGGATTCGACCCATATACCAATTCAACGTGTCCAGGGGCAACGACCGAAAGCTGTGTTAAACAAACACACGAAAAAGCCAAGCACGTTTAATAAGAGATCGAATGTCGTGTATTCGCTGTTGCGTCCAGCCCCTACTGTTGGGGTGCAGAGAGAATCACGTGGTCCTACTGTTGGGGTGCAGAGTCAATCACGTGGTCCTACTGCTCGGGTGCAGAGTGGATCACGTTGTCCTAAATGGATGCTACCCACTAAATGTGTCATTTATAATAAAATTATTCAAAATTTCACCATTCAAAAAAGTGACAAGAAGGACGATTTGATCAATCTCCACAGGTGAGTCAATAATTCTATCAATAAATTCATCAGTACTTTCAGCCATACATCCAACAATACACCCACCACTGAATCCATCTATGAATCCTTCATTAAATCCATCACGATATACATCAATTAATCCACCAATAAATCCATTAATGCACCAATCAATAAATCCATCAACATATTAATCAATACAGTGGTACCTCGGGATACGAAAGCCTCATGTCACCAACAATTCACGAAAGGGACACATTTCCTACAACCGTTTTTCTGTGTAAGAAACATAGATTAAATCTTTTTTCATTATAGATTTAATTTCTTTGTTTCTTTTCTCTCTCTCTCTCTCTCTCTCTCTTTATTTAATACTTGAAGTAAACGGATGCTTATAAAATAAGAACGATCTTTTGATCATGAAACGCATCTCCCTCTTTGTCAATGGTTGAAATAGCTCGGGCTTCAACCGCTCCGGGTTTCGAACCAAGTTCTGGAACGAGTTAAGTTCGTAACCCGAGACTGCACTGTGCATCCATAAAGGTATCCATCCATAAATCCATCAATGAATCCATCAATAAATCCATCAATGAATCCATCCATAAATCCATCAATGAATCCCTCAATAAATCCATCAATGAATCCATCAATAAATCCATCAATGAATCCATCAATAAATCCATCAATGAATCCATCAATAAATCCATCAATGAATCCATCAATAAATCCATCAATGAATCCATCAATAAATCCATTAATGAATCCATCAATTAATCCTGCAAAAAATCCAACAGTAAATCCATAAAGTGAAACTAATAGATAACCATATTCGATGTATAACTTTATTTTAAAAGAACTTGAGTCTTTCTTGATATAATATGAAGAGTTGAATATATAATTATCAATTTATGAAATAGTTGCATTCAAAAGTCTAGTTCTTCTGGGGGTTGATAATTGAATTGTGTTTTCAGAAGTCTAGTTCTTCTGGTGCTTGATATTTGAATTGTGTTTTCAAAGGTCTAGTTCTTCTGGTGTTTAATATTTGAATTGTGTTTTTAAAAGTCTAGTTCTTCTGGTTTTGATGTTGGAATTGTGCTTTCAAAAGTTTGATTTTTGTGTCACCTGATACTTGATATGTTTAAAAAAACCCACATAATTTGAACCACATCATAAAAGAGCCATTGAAGCCCATTCAAATATGTATTTGATGTATTTATTTGATGCTGAGTTTCACAATAGCAATTAATGAGATGTGTTCCACAGGTACGATTACGTCATAGATTCCACCGCCTGTCAGAGAGAGTCCCCCCATGTCGTTTTGCTTGTCCACAGCAAATTTGATCACTACCAAAGGAGGGAGGTCATTCGGTCAACCTGGGCGCATAACAGGAAAGTAAAAAAAAAAAAACGACCAACTTAGATATTTGATATAGGGGGAGAGCGGGGTAGGTTGTCTTGTGGGCTTGTTGTCTCGTGGGTAGGTTGTCTTGTGGGCTTGTTGTCTCGTGGGTAGGTTGTCTTGTGGGCTTGTTGTCTCGTGGGTAGGTTGTCTTGTGGGCTTGTTGTCTCGTGGGTAGGTTGTCTTGTGGGCTTGTTGTCTCGTGGGTAGGTTGTCTTGTGGGCTTGTTGTCTCGTGGGTAGGTTGTCTTGTGGGCTTGTTGTCTCGTGGGTAGGTTGTCTTATGGGAAGGTTGTATTTTTGTTAGGTTTTCTCCTGGGTAGGTCGTATTTTGGGTAGATTGTCTCCTCGGTAGGTTGTATTTTGGGTTGGTTGTCTTGTGGATAGTTGTCGTTGGGTAGGTTGTCTTGTGGATAGTTGTCTTGTGGGTAGGTTGTCTTGTGGACTGGTTGTATGATGGGTTGGTTGTCCCGTGAGATGGCTGTCTCGTGCGCTGGTCGTCAAGTGGGCTGTTCGTCACTTTGGCTGGTTGTCTCGTGAGCTGGTCGTCACGTGGGCTGGTTGTCTTGTGTGTTGGTTTTCACATCGTTCATATTTTAAAGACCAGAAACGATGTGAAGTATTTAAAGACAGAGCTCACTGCATACCTACACAGCTGCTCTGCTTACTTCTTTTCAAACTGTTTGATCGTTTCAGAAAATAGATTCGTACCTTGTTAAGTACATTTTCTAGATTATTTCACTATTTTCTTTGATTAAAGTTACAATTACAAATTATGCTTCTTTTATTTTTTTAGAAGTTACATTATTTATTTTATTTTAAAAGCTCATTAATATAATTTCTTTAACTACCATATAAATATCATTTCTTTAACAAGGATGGAAATATCATTTATTTAACTGGCACATAAATATAATTTTTAACTATCATGTAAATATTATTCCTTTAACTAGCACATAAATAACATTTCTTTAACTAGAACATAAATATGATTTCTTCAACTAAAATGTAAATATTATTTCTTTAACTAGCACATAAATATCATTTCTTTATCTAACATGTAAATATCATCTCTTTAACTAGCACATAAATATCATTTCTTTAACTAACATGTAAAATATCATGTCTTTAACTAGCACAGGTTCAGTTTCAAATAAATATAACGGAAATTTATTTTTAGACCTGGTTGTCCCAGTGTAATAAGTAGGTATTTTATTTGGACTCTCATTTCAAATTAATATTTTTGAAATTTCAAGGGAAAAAACTATTCCCTCTCTCATACAACAATTCATTCAACATCATGATAAGCCCATTAAATTGGTTTTTAAATTATATTTTAGTTTTCAATAATTAATCTTCGTAATTTGTAAAAAGTGTGACAACCTACATTGCACTCCCCTATCTTACTCATGGCCAGTCCGCTGTCTGGTCTAGCTGAAATTATCATACCGCTTTTAGTTTCTTGAAGGTTTTAATTAAGGGGTTACCGTGTGGAGTGGAGATGTATGAAATGGTTCCATACACCTCGACTAGTACATACACCTCGACTAGTAGGCTACATACACCTCGACTAGTACATACACCTCGACTAGTAGGCCACATACACCTCGACTTGTACATACATCTCGATTAGTACATACACCTTGACTTTTACATACACCTCGACTAGTACTTTGGAGGAAACTCAAATAGTCAGAGGCTCAATTATAAAAATTTAGATACTTAAGGAATAAAAAATACATAATTATAAAGTTGCCATGATAATGGAATCAATGACAAACAGCAAATTAGACGATACAAATATGGGAAACGTTATGCGCAGTCGGCTGGGAATTAGCCAAATAAGGTTTGTTACCGCTAGTTTGGCCATTTACAAACAAGTATTATGCGGCAGATAAACTAACACGTATTAATTTTAATTAATATTGAATGATAGTAATAGTATTAGTATTAGTGGTATTATTAGTATTATTGCTTGCATCTTATATATTATAATTATAAGTCCAAGTCAAAGTCTACATTTCTTGGACTTAGAGTCTAAGCCTAAGAAGATGATTTTTTAAAAGGCATTCCCATGGTTTAAGTCTAGTTCTGTATTCTGATTGATTAGGTTTTTATATGTTGCTATGAACATGTGGTTGGTTTTACTGACTAATTCAGGAAATACATTCTATTTATCTTTTTTTTTTAAATTATATCATTTATGATTTTTTTTAGTGACCTAAATGTGGCAGTTTTCAGCTTCCATGCAAAGCTATAACTGTGTGAAAGTATTTATTAAAGTGCCCCCCCTCTACAGAACCCCCTGCCCCTACAGCTATTTTTTACTGCTACTCTGCACTGACCACTCCTGATTATAATTATTGTACCAGAGAAACAATGATTTTATCTGCCACAAAATTAGTTAACAACACAAAAAATATGTTAACAACACAAACATATAGTATGATAATCATAAGAATAACATTATTAACATTACATTGATTAATAATTCTTATGTTTTAACATTTTTTAGCCAAAAAAAAAATGTAAAAATAAGCCTAAGCTTCACTCTCGAGAACAAACATAACAAACTAACACGTATTATACATTCATGACTGTCCTTTGGCTGGAATTGAACTCCAGACAACCAACTTGAGGTATGCTCAGTTTATACCATTCGACCACCCAGTCACCATGGTAATGAGGCACCTTTATCGAGTGATACTGTAACACAGGAAGAATATAGACGTCACGTGACTTGCCGGCTGCGCGTAACCACTTCGTAAAACTATATGCTTCTAAGTTAATTTCAACTTTTAAATCCCAGAGCAATGTATTTTCAGAACCGTCCAGGGAGTGAGTGTCACAACCGTGTTTGTCCTGGGGATACCTGAGGCTAAAGGCCTCCAGAAACGTGTTAATGTCACTTTGGGAACAGATGACCAACAGATGACCAACAGACAAACAAGAGATGACCCACAGAGGACGCAGCAAAAAGACATTCTCAGCACTTTATCACGGAATGTTCAAGAGGCCAAGAAATTCAAGGACATTGTGATGGGGAATTTTACCGACATCTACAGGTAATTTATGAGCCCTGACGTAGTCGTGTAAATTGTACCGAGTTGAATCACACAGCGATGTAGTTGAATCAAACAGTGATGTAGTTGAATCACACAGTGATGTAGTTGAATCACACAGTGATGTAGTTGAACCAGACACTGATGTAGTTGAATCACACAGTGATGTAGTTGAATCACACAGTGATATAGTTGAATCACACAGTGATGTAGGTGATTCAGACAGTGATATAGTTGAATCACACAGTGATGTAGTTGAATCAGACAGTGACGTAGTTGAATCACACAGTGACGTAGTTGAAAAACGATCTAAGTCTATTAGGGCATCATCGATCTATAACATGATGTGTTTGGCTGTATTCTAGTCAAGTATACGATGTAACGTAAAGATAACAGGTCGGCCTACACCTGCATTCTTGAGTGACGACATAGGCCAGCCTTCTACCCCCACCTTCAACCCCCCCCCCCAACTCCTATATTGTCAAGTGATGTCATGGGCCAATGTTCTAAAGCTTCTAAAGCCCCCCCCCCC